GAACATTTTTCTGATTTCTTGGAACCGGAAAATTTCGTATTGAAATCAAATTATCCGTTAGGGGAGAAATTGAATTGTATCCTATTACATGTCCTAAATATTGTAGGGAATCCAAGGCAAAGGTACATTTAGAAAGTTTTAATCGGAAACCTTCATTCATTATTGCTTCTAGTAATTGCGACAAATGATTAATGTGTTCTTCGAAGGTTTTTGAAAAAATCAGTATGTCGTCTATATAGTTGACTGCAAAATCTGATAATTTATGTTGTCTTATTATGTTACTTAATATTCTTTGAAATATGGCTGGTGACGTTAGGTGCTAGACAGGTCCATTGAAAGTGACCTTCTTGTGTTACAAGTCCAGTTTTTCGTCTGTCTTCTACCCTTCAAGGAATGGGCCAAAACGCTGAGTTTATGTCAAGTTTCGAAACGTATCTGCAATTTCTTGTTTTTATTACTAGATCTTCGATTAATGGAAAAGGTTGTTATTGGGGAACTATTATCTTATTCAGGTCTCTGAAATCTATACAGTATCTTGATTTTTTGTTTTCATCTTTTTTATAAGCTAGTGTTACTGGGGCTGCAAAAGGGGTGTATGATTCTTCGATTAAAATCTCTTTTGAGTAGTTTAGAAATTTATTATTATTATTATTATTATTATTATACTTTGAGCTGAGGCAGTGCCTATTAAGCTCACGATTTTAGTAAAACAGAAATACAAATTGTAATCAGCGTAATTTACAATGGCGGCAATTTATTATCTTCTGTTAATGTAGCTTTGCTTTGAATGTGTTGATACTATGAGAATTAATAGTGTTTGCGGGTAGGGCATTCCAGGCAGTAAATACTCGATTACTTAGAAAGTTTTCCCGGATCTTGCTTTTGTACTGATTATGACGCAATTTTAAGCTGTGACCACGAAGCCGTTCGTCACTGTTGATGTTAAATAAAGGTGACAAGTCGACCCCAAGATAACCTTTCAAAATTTTAAATGTCCAGACTAAATCGTTTCTGGATCGTCTTTCGGACAGAGTGCAAAGTGCTAGTTCTTGGAGCCTCTGAGAATACGGAAGGTTATGTAGGCTGGCGACCGTTTTGGTTGCGCGTCTTTGAGCTCGCTCTAATAATTCAATGTCTTTTTGTAAGAAAGGACACCAGACAACAGATGCGTATTCCAACTGAGGTCTAACATAAGATTTATACAATGTCAGAAATGACTCTTTCGATAGACTTTGGAAGGCTTTTCGAAGCAGATACATCGTAATGTTTGTTTTTCTAACAGTTTTTAAAGAGTGGTGCGACCATTTGAGGTCGCTTTGAATCGTGATACCAAGGTCTACATACTTATCAACAGCTTTGATGAGATCGTTGCCAATACAATAGTTTAAACATGGATTTTTTGCACCCAGATGAAGAATGACGCACTTTTCTTTGTTAATAGGAATTAGCCACAGATCGCACCATTGTAGCACAGTATTTAGGTCTTCGATTAGGATATTACAACTACTATTGGGATAGTTAAAAATTTTAAGATCATCCGCATAAAAGGCATGATCTGATTTTAGAAGACGACTTAAATCACTTATATAAAGAACAAATAAAACAGGCCCTAGGACGGATCCCTGAGGAACTCCGGATTTTACAGCATAATTATTGGACAATGAATCACCAACTCTGACGTAAAAGACACGTTCAGATAGGAAAGCAGATATCCACTTCAAGAGATTACCCTTAATACCTAACTCTCTCAGTTTGTGTATTAGCCTTCGATGAGGAACTTTGTCGAATGCCTTTTGAAAATCTATATAAACAATATCAACGGAATCACCACGGTCAATAGCTTTGGTCCATTTATCTAAACAGTATAAAAGGCATGTCTCAGTGGAACGACCAGGGAGAAAGCCATGTTGTTCGTCAGGTACTATACCTTCATGAATAGCAAAATGAATTATTCTTTTACACAAAATTCGTTCCATTAATTTACAGCAAACTGCAGTCAAATTTATAGGACGATAGTTTTTACGGTCAGTTTTGTCACCTTTTTTAAAAATGGGTGTGACAGAAGATTTTAACCAGTCGGACGGTAAAGAAGTTGAAAGTAAAGACTGGGACATTATGTGAGCAAGAGGCTTGGCTAATTGCAGAGCATATTTTTTTAAGAAAGAACCACAGATATTATCAGGACCAGGGGCACTATGTTCAGAAAGGTTCAATAGCTCACAATAAACTATGGCTTCATTTATTTCTATAGTATCAAGATACGTTGATGTCGGGAGAGAACTAGGTAGATTTTGAGAGTCTTCACTGGTATATGTACTGGCAAAAACTTCTGCTAGTATTTCAGCCGATTCAGAGTTGGATTTAGAACAATGACCATCGTTGTTTTTTACAGTAGGCAAAGAAATTTTCGAACACAGTTTGCGTTTAGTATATTTATACACTGCTTTTGGTCCTCTGTTCAACAAGGAATTTTCATAAATTTGTCTGGCCTTATTTAAATCTTTGCTTAGTATATTGGCAAAACTGCGGTGCAACTCAAAATCTTCTGTTTTCTTTGTCAGTTTATATTTTTTCCACAATTTTCTTTTATACTTAATCCTACGCAGTAAATCCCCTGAAATCCAAGGTTTTGTACTATTCGACTGCTTGACTTTCGTCTTACTGTTGTTAGCAACTACACTATGTATTGTGTTTTTGAATACATTCCACAAAGTTTGTACTTCAGAAATAGAGTAAAAGGCTTCCCAGTTGAGGTGGTCCATGACAAAAGAAACTTGATTATGGTCGATTATTTTGTATAACTCTTTCCTGTGTTTTGAAGCTGTGACTAGAGTTATCTGGATATTAGATTCTATTACTGCATGATCAGAAATGCCTATTGGAGAGGAAATGTTAATATCAGAAAGAAGAGTAGTATCATTAATTAGAATTAAGTCTAAGAGTGACGGGGTATTACCAAGTCTAAATCGAGTGGGTTCGTGCACTAGTTGATTATAATTAGAGTCAAGATACATTTCTACAAAGAGTGAATTCGTATTATTACCTTCTGGTATATATGTAATGGGCTATTTAATATCTGGCAGATTAAAATCTCCACAGACAATTAAGCAACTATAATAATCGGAAATTCTCTTAAGTTCATTAATTAGTAGTATATCATCTGCCAGTGAGGTGGTGGGTGAACGATATATACAACCTACACAAAACGAAACTGTTTTAAAAGATATACAGAGAAACAAACACTCAATAGTAGATGAGGTAATATTATGATGCATTTCAGAAATTCTAAAATTATGAAAATCAATTTTGTTTAGTAAAATACATACTCCACCTCCATTTCCTTTTCGATCACAACGATAGATATGATAATCAGGCAAGTCAATTAACTTATTACCAATTGATTCATTTAACCATGTCTCGGATATAGCTAAACATGAAGTTCTGTTATTCTGTAAATATAAATTTAGGGAGTTTAATTTTGCCATTATTGATGCGATATTTGTGTATGCAAAAGAAAATTGTTTTAATTCAGTTACAGTTTCAGTTTCATTAGGTAATGGCTCACCTGGGGTATTAGTATTCGAAGCATTTATATATTCCAGTACACATGTTGATGAGTTTGTAAGTAATTGCTATTGCCGTATTATGAATACATCTATCTTTTCTTCTATATTTAATATTTTTACTTTTAATGTTATCATTCCATTGGATTTATATACACCATTAATTGTCTTCAAGTTAATCTTTTGCATCGTGTTGTCCTTTTTTGGTTTCAAACGTATTAGTTTTGAATTTATCAATGAGACATTTGAGCCTGCGTCATAAATAGCAGATACTTCTAAGGTGTCGTTTAGTTTTACCTTGAGACTAACTAATGGTGGAACTATTAGTTTTTTGGATCATTATTATTAACTTCTACTTCTAATATAGAATTGTTTACGTGTTTTGTTTTTTCTTCATCGTTTTTTCTATCTTTGAACCAGCATTCGGTTTCAGGATGAAATCTAATACCTTTGTCTTTATTTTTGCAGATTTCACAAGGTATCTTTTCGCTTTGTCTTTGTTATTGACTCTATATTTCTTTGTTTCTAAATTTTGCTTAGAAGCTAAATGTTCCAATTTACCTATTTCATTATATAGGTCTTCAGTTTTCTGTAGTTTCTCTCTCTCAATTCTATCAGCTACGAAATTTGGCAAGCCAATAGCGATTAAATCTATCAGTGTTCCATCACCAATGGACTATCTTACTTCTAATAAAAGTTTTTCTTTTTTTTAGCGCGTAATCAAGCATGGAGTCGGTTTGACATTTAAATGACATTGCATATCTTATGCAATTTGATAGTTTTATGTTTTCTCGACGTTTCATGACCCCTAGAGTACGAAAAAAATGAGTCTCCCGTTTCCGTCGGTCCGTCGTCTGCCTGTCTGTCCGTCTGTCCGTCTGTATGTCTGCCTGTGTCGATTTTTATTAGACAGATAATATTTTACGACTACAGGACCAATTGCTGTCAAATTTTATATGTACATTAGGAACAAAAATTGTCTAATCATCCGCACCAACAATTTGATGACATCATTTCAAATAATGCAATTTTAAAATGAGTTAAATGTTATGCTGTTACAATACATTCTTATTAGTTTACTCTTGGGAATTCAAAAATATAAGCAACATTCTTAAACCAATTTTTGAACGAATGTACATAATTACATTAGTAGTTACGTACTAGATAATTCACGAGGAAATTTAAATAGAAAAGAGGACCTTTATATTCAGTTAGAATTTGAACACGTACCAAGAAACAATGTGTCAGCTCCTTCTAATACACTGATGAAATAATGGAAATATAAAAATTATAGACATTAATGTACCAATCCAGCCGCTAATTTCTGAGGTGCATTCAGTATCTTACATTTTACGAAAAATTGCAAATTAAATCAAAATTTAGAAATTTTTTGGTGAAAATAAAGTTGCTTTCGCGTGGTTCCAAACGAACAAAACGATGAATTTTGAGGTTTCTGAAGAAATAGCGGCAAAAGCCGAAAAAACTAAGGATTCTTTACTACTTTTAAAGTCCAGGCAAATGTACGAGAAAAAATTTAAAAGTTTTAACGAGTGGAAAGGGAAAATTTCTCTTGATGGCATAAACGAAACTGGGATGATGACTTACTTTCAAGACCTGGTGAGTTAGTTTAAATATGTTGACTAATAATGGTCCTTTTTTATATAGTTTGAAAAATACAGCCCTAATTCCTTGTGGACAATATTGACATTTCGAATTTCAAACAGTTTATTGCATTCCTTCAGCAAAAGTCGAAGGGATATTCTCCCAAAAAGTCACAAGTCTTGACAGGGGAACAAGTTTTAACGTTCGTAAAAGATGCTCCTGACGAAACACATCTTTCGAACAAGGTATGCAAAAGATTTATTTGACAACGTTTTCTCAAAATATGTTGTTTCAGGTGATTCTAGTAATTGGCGTATTTGGTGCTTTAAGAAAAATTGAGGTGGTGCAGCTCACTATCGAAAATGTTATTGATAAAGGAAGTGTTATATTAGTGCAAACTCCAAAAACTAAAATCGATGAACCCAAGTCGTTTACGATAATGACCTTCATCAAACTTCAAGAGGAAGCTATCCACTTAGAAAATTCTGTTTTAACTGGAAACTTACATCTACCATCTGGAATTGCTGCGTCTTCTTTGATGTCAGGGATATTTCAAAATTGTAATTTTTATTTCGGGACACATCAGAAACTTTTTTGACTTTGTACCTTCTGTTGTAGTTATTAATGTTGAATAAAATTGTTAAAAAAAGTGGAGGGCGTTATGGTTCATAACAGCCTTTCATAATGGCCTCGTTATTATTGAGTTGTTAATGTGTTTGGTGTCATAGCAATTATAAGGAATTAATAGATGAGTGGAATATAAAAACATATTGTACACCTGAGTCTGCTTCCCGAACTATATAGTTGTGTAAATTACTTTTGTTTTTGTGGTGTGAAATATAAAAGTTACAATTATTCAAATTACTAAAATTTATATCAAATTGCCGATAAATGGGCAAAATTAGTTTCTTGTTTTGACAGGGAATTTAACATGACCACCAATTCACCAATTCTACATCTTCCGAAAACTTCCACAATAAAAATTACTTTTTGGAGTAAATATTCATCATCACAAGCATTATCTAAGAACGTCTTCATTTCTTTTTAAGGAAATGTATTTTTTAGAGATGTACCGACTACAGTCGGCCGACTGTTTATAAATGCAACAGACAGTGGGTTTTTTTTTCTATTTCTCTGACTACCTTAAAAACTTGTTTTATTTTAATAAAAGGAATAACTGAAGTTTCTTTTTTTTTCAAAAAATGTGTTAAATTTTTTTGGATAATTTTAACATTTAATTTTTTGTAGTAACTCAGTACAAAAATAAAGAATAACACAATTTAGGGCAGTTTATACAATACTTAACCAATTTTAACCACTTTTTTGGAAAATTTTTGGAAATTTTAAATGCGCTTTGCGTGTTTATTGGACCATATATCGTGACGGCGATTTCAGAATCGTAACTAGCGGAAGATTATCTACACTTTGACACCAATTTTCGGTCGATTAAACTAATTTTAACCGGTTTTGACAAAGCCGACTAGTCGGCCGACTGCAGTCGGCACATCTCTAGTATTTTTCTGTTACTTAAGCAACTTCATTAGACCCGACTTTTTCCACAAAAATACAACCAACGAATAAATAATCACCACTAAACAGTGGTATCAATCAGTGTTAGTTAATGAAACATTTAACGGGGGTTGGTAAATTACCGGTTGACACGGAAGGTCTACTAAGTGAATGACTCCACTTATAATTCATGGCTTCATAAAATATTTAGCCATTTTCAGTGGATCCCTAAACGTTAGCTCATTATTTTTAACAATCCTTTTTATATTACATATTTATTTTGATGCAAATACTTTTGGATTACATTTTGCTACACATTGTTGAAAATTAGTTCCATGTAGTGTTTTTTACTTCCCGAACGTAAGCTAAGAAATCCATTGGGTGACTGACTACCTCCATGTTTTTTCAAAGTTTGATATACAATTTTATGTTTATGAATCCGCTTTGATTTTTTATTATCCAGATATTCATAAAACAAATCTAAATTGCATCATCAAAGTTTTTACCGTACCGTCAAAATGTAGAAAAACACATTTTATAAAATAACCTTCGACTATTTTTTTTTATAATTTGGTTGCAATGGTTTCGTATTTATCATACCAAAGACTTTTCGATTTATTTATGAACTTGACCTCCTTTTCTACGGCTCTAACAAAAATCAATTCGTTTAGAGTAATTACAGCCTGATATTAATAATTGAAGCAGAGATCGCATGTGTGTTATTAAGTGGATCCCGGACTCATAACCGGTAATTTGTGTCAATATGGAATGTTTATAATACTTTAATATGGTAGTTAGTTCACAACCAGACATGTTGATGCACAGTGGCCAACAATAAATTGCATTCTTTCATGATTACGCTAATTGATCCAACAAATCTGTATTAACTAAGTAAATCGTTTACCACAACTCTATTTCGTCTCTATAATATGACGTCTAGTGGGAATTGAGGTGTGACATTATATTTTTATAATGTTAATTCTCGTGTTTTCTAGAAGTAGCGTCGAATTTGTAATAATTTGACTCTTAATATATTGTTCTTCGAATTCTTAAAAAATCCTTGGCTCCAAGTTGGCCATGATTTCTTGCAAACGTTGTGAAGTGCATGTATAGATATGATACGTATTCAGTAGACTCAAAATTTAATCCATGACATCGAACCATCTAAAATGGTACAAATTAACCTCATTTTTCGTATAATAAAATTAACTCTCTTCACGACTCTATCAAATGTCAATTGTATAGAATACTATGGATTAATAAAACACATGCGTTTGTCTTTAACTGGTTGTCTTTAATTTGTGAACTTTTTATTTTTTTCTGCTGGTTTGTGCTGTTTTGTTCCTATTCAGCATTTTTGTCGATTGAATTTTTGTTATTAGATTCCCTCTTTGTAGTTGTTTTGTGCGTCTGTGATAGTTGTATGTGTCACTTTTGACCTTTTTTATATCTGTTCAGTCGCCTTTTTTGTCACTTTATATCTATTTCCTGTTTATTTTTCTACTTTATTGCCTTTTTTATGACTTTCTTTGTTATTACTGTCGTCTTTTTTTAATTTTGTGTTTAAGGTTCGTTTGTCCCTTTTTTATCATTTTTAATGTCGTATCTTTTCTTGCAGATTTTTTCTTGTTCTTTTTTGTTAATATGCGTTTAAACCTAGATTTTTTTTAGATTGGTTTCATAATGTGTTTTGACTTCATATTTTCTGTCTATTTTGTCATATTCTTTATCACCTCTTTACCTCTTTCATCCTATGTTTTGTGGCTACTTTTGTCGCTATTTTTTGTATTTTTTCGCATTCTTCGTTGCCTTTTTTGTATTATTTTTGGGATAACTTTTATGGTTTCTTTCGTACCTTATCTATATAGTTTTTCTTCTCATTTTGTGAACTATTTTTAAACAAGCGAAATATAACAAATAGAATAGGGTTTACTAAAATAGAAAATTCGAAGGACGTTATCAAATTGTTGGTGGAGATTATCAGATAAATTATGGTTAGCATTTTTTTGTCTACACGAAATTCCTAAAGCCTTCGATCCGGTAGCTTCGGATATGATATCAATTAAAAATCAACACAGACAGACGACAGATGACAGACGGAAACGCTAGACTGACATTTTCGTACTCTATAAGTCATGAAACGTCAAGAAAACAAGAAAGTAGTTATATATAAAACTATAAAAAAAATACTACAAAAAAGAGACACACAAACAAAAAAAAAAATACGAAAAACAGAGACAGTGCTAAAGGCAAAGAATATGAAGAGTACATACACAATAGTGTACGAAAAAGACGGTTTAGAAACAAGCACAAACTATGCATCAAAAAACGATAATAGAAAAAACGAAAAAAGCCACGAAAAAGCGTGCAAGAAAGATCACCAAAAAAAGAGTAAAAAATAAGCGACGTCCACAGCAATATCTAGAAAAAAAAGCAAAAATAGAAAAGACAAAATAGACACAAAGGGATTGACAAAATTAAGAATAAGACAGATGTAAATAACTCAAGGAAGAAAAACATGACAACAAAAAAAATTAAAATAACAAAACAAACGAATAATAAATGCAGTTCAATCCACAAGAAAAAAATTGGTCTAAGGTTATTTCGACAGAACTTCCCTTGCTCCAGAAGGGTAAATAACACCCCCTCAATTCCTGGGCCTCGAGGGTGTAAATTCCAAGGGGGTACGGTCTGAACAAATGGGGACAATATGAAAAATATTTAAAGCAGATAATCAGTGGAAAACAATATATTCGTAATTCCTAGTACTTGTTTAACTTTAACTGTTGTGTTTATGTTTATTCGACCATTAGTACGTCATATCGTGTCAGCGCCGGGATTGAAGTACGTAACCGTGACATTAAATGCATGCATATGTGTTATAAGAAACTGACATTTGATTAATTTTGTCTCTTTAACATAAAAGAGACGACCAATTAATTAAGTAAGCATACTCGATTTTTTTCCCAAAAAGTATACCTAGAGAATAGTAAGATAGTACAAGTACGAAATAAATTGACTGATTTATTAATTTATTTCAGTCACCTTGTATAAGCAAATCTAAAATATATTAATGCAATGATAAATTACAAGTATAGACTGATAATATTTTGCACATTTTAGATAGGATTTATTCGGCAAAATTTTGAGATGACGTCATCAATTTTTTGGGGTTAATACACAGATACATTTTGATTAAAAATTTAACATGCTTACAATAACATCTGCCAGATTTCAAAGTATTCAGTTCTGCAATTTTTGATTTAATGAATAAAATAAATTGACTGATTCATTAATTTTTTTGGGACACCTGTATAAGCAAATCCAGAAAATACGAATGGAATGATAGATCACAGGTATACACTCATCATATTTTGGACATTTTAGAGAGGATTTATCATAACTTTAAAACATCTGTAAAATTTCAAAGCATTCGGTTTTGCAGATTCAAAATTAAATTGCAAAATGTTATTTTATAATTTAGATTTTTTTTCCAAAGTCTGGATACTTCGGATAAAAAAATCAATACAACATCATAAATTATATGTGTAGGACTGTTATTTTATACAATTTAAAACCCATTTACTATCTACAATTTTGAAGTGACGTCATCACATTATTGGTGGGGATGATTAGACAAATTTTGGTTAGCGTTTTACCATCTACGTGATAGGCCTAATATAAATATAAAATTTGACAACAATCGGCCCGGTACTTTTGAAGATTATCTGTCTAATAAAAATCTGTGACGGCAGACAGACGGACAGGCAGACAGACGCACAGACTGACAGACGGAAAAGGGATACCTATTTCTTTGTACTTTAGGGGTAATGAAAGGTCGAAAAAACGTAAAAGTAACGGGAAGTAAACATTATAAATGTGAGGCTGACTCTTTGAATTTTAATTTCTAGAAATTTTGCCTAAAATTTTATTTTTTTTTAAATGATTTAATGGTTTATAATCACCAATATAATTTGCGAAATCTTGACAAACTAAAATAAAAACAATTAATAAACAGTTTTTATTTTGTATTCGTAAGCTTAGCTCAATTTACCTAGTTGAACCAATTAATACTAAGATTTAATTATAGCTTAATTTTCCAGTGGCCCCTGCTATCCATTTTTTGAAACATGAGATTGCCTTCCACCATTGACCTTCACCGCAATTTACAGCTAAAGTGTCCAACTAATCGAAGATATTCTATTTTCCACATCAAGATCAAATACTGTTATACAAGCAAAAATTATAACTGATGATATGTTCCGAATAATTAAAAATGAATGCCTGTTTTCAGAAAATTACAGCACATGCAACTCGAGCGTTTATTTTTCTTCCATAATTGCATCTCATTAGTCATTATGAATCAAGAATAAGTCAAATGTGGTATCGATCACTTAATTATTTGCAGCCATTATAAAAGGAAATAAAACTTGACACAGTTCATATGTACTTCAGACTTTACATTTACATCTTCAAAATGTAGCTTAAATTTAATTACCTACTTTACAATTTTTAATAGCTGTTTTATTTAGGGTTTTTAATAACTATTATAATTTACGTTATTATCCAGAAATAATGCTTTCATACGCTGGATTGCATCCGTATTTTAGGTCCAAGCTGCTGATGTTTTACAATCATTACGTCAACTGTAGCTTCTTCACGTTTCTTCTTCTACTGGCCATTGTAGAAGTAGCGCTTTGGTGTAACAGGGACACACTTCAAGCAATCGAAGGTCTGTCTTCTGTACTTTTTATGCTATATGTACGTATATGATATATATTTAAGGATACCATTTATCACAAAATTTAGACATTTTGCAGATACATAATCAGCTATTACAATAAACCGATTTTGGAGCATTTACTCCAAAATCAGTCCAAATTTTGGGGAATTGCAAACCTTCAAGGATCCATACGTGAAGAGTGCGAATATATTTTCCAAAACACGTCAAATTTTATCCGTTATTACAAAAACTACGCTGTGATTTTAGCAGCTGTGTTTTACATACAGCCGTTCATTTTTCACGAATTGCAAATGAAAATTTATGTACCGGAAGGATGGTTTTATTTTTTGTATGCTGTTTACTGGTATATGACACCCCCTTTATTTGTTAGTGTTTATGGTGTGACATCACTGTTTTGTGCCCTTTCTGTTCCAGCAGTAATTCAGTTTAAATTACTGGCACATAGGTTTGAAACTTTGCAGACGCCTGAAAAACTGAAGGACTTGGTCGATTATCACAATTTTTTAATTAAGTACGTATTTAAATCTCCATATTTTTTTAAATAGTGATTTTTATAGATATTGCAGCAAAATCAACACTTATTTTAGCGCTACACTTCTGTTCGAATTTTTCATCACCGTTTCAGTGTGCTGCATTCTTATATTCATATGTGTGAAGTTGAGCTTTATATTGTTTTTGTTATTTGTTGCAGTAAATTATGAAGTATTTTTTAGCGATTACCCATTTGTGGACAAAGTCAAATATATCGGATTTATCGTAAGCCAGTTTCTGGATACTGCAATTTATTGTTACACCGCTGAATTGGTCACAGAGGCTGTAAGTTTTTTCTTCTGTCCTTTTTTTCACGTAATAATACAATGTTAGTCGGAGAAAGTTAGCAATATATTCTACAACCAAATTTGGTACAACTTTGAAGAATCCAGTATTAGTAAACAAGTGATTTTTGTTATTAGTAGAGCACAAAAGAAGATTCTTTTTAGTGGATATGGAATAGTTTGGATTAATATGATGACCTTCACTCAGGTAGTTTTATAATTTAGTGAAAGATTTGATACAAGGTGGTGCTATTCTTAGGTGTTTAAGGTAACTATGTCTTTTGTCAGTTATCTTAATGCTGTGACAATGTAAATTTGGAATAAGTTATTGGACTAATGTAACACATTTTACATGATAATAAAAGGAGAAAGCAATTTTTTAATATTTTAGTCTTGGTGCTTTATTATGTTTTCTTATTTTTTTTAGATTGCTCCAATCTAGCTTTGTTCCATAAAAACAGTAACTATTAGGCTCATTTCCGACTAAACCAAAGTGCAAAAAAGTGAAAATATTGTAAAATAATGTTTTTAATGCTAACACATATTTCGTCGGTATGCTACTATAATGTTCATTTGGATTATTCGTCTTATTAATTAGACACTCAAGTAAGTGATTCATGCTTTTTTTCTCACAAGTTTAAAGTTTGTCAGTTAAACGAGCGAAAAAAATAGCTTTCAAAACGTGTTACACGGGTCATTTAAAAAAAATTGCTTTAAAATGATTACAACTGTCAAATTAAAAGTTTATAAATTTATCATAATCAATGAAATCGTGAAAAAACTCTCGTTACATACAGTTTTAAGTTAAAAAGTATTATTTCCATTACGTTTGATAGTTTAAAAAATTAAATACATATTTTTTTTTAATAAATTTGGTGCAAAGAAATTTGAATTTATATATTAACAATTAATTTTGGAGTTTACTGCATTCTTTGCAGAAAATTTTTTGGTCACTACAAGTTAGTTCTGGATTATCTTTAATCCATAATAAAACCAAAGATGTTTCTTCATTCAGGACTTTTTTGGAGCTTCACACTGTTAATGAGGCGCTTGTAGATACGAAAGAATGAATAATTTATCTCATTCCCTTCGCTAAGTACCTACATACCAATCTCCACTTTTACGCCATTTGTGTAAATAAGATCGTAAAAAGATTAGTTTTGACCATGGAGCAAAGAATATACTCATACTGGAGGAAGTGTCAGACTTAACATGATGGTTTCGAGCCAAACCGGTAAAGCGCCATAAACAGTACCCCTTATTACCCAGATAATACTGCCGATGACAGCGACGTACAGTTTTATTTTTTTGAAGCGGCTCATGGAACAAAAATTGTTGAATAAAACAACGCACACAACAGTTTTATATTATCTATTAATTAATATTATTTAAAATATTTAAATCAATCAATACATCACGAGTAACAAGTAATACAAACAGTGAATGCCGTTAAAAAGTAGAAACGAGGATGACGACGCTACTGAGTAGTGGTTATTCGCAATGGAGTGACTAATTTTTAGCTTGGGAAGTTTTAAAAGTTTATTGAGGGGCATTTCACTCGGAAGGCCGACTATTCACTCAGAATTATTTGCCTAATCTGTCGGATGTAGGTGGGCAGATGTACACTGCGGCTTTAATCTTCTCCAGCCCATGTTGTAAGTTTTTGTAGGATGCAAAGTGCGGGCATTGATTAAATACATATAGATAGACCCATGCTATTGTTTGGAGCGAACAGGCCAACGGCCGGCACCAACAGTCGGCCGTCAAACACCGGCGAAAAGCTTGGACACCAATCACGCGCATAGGTAACACAAATCACACCAACAATACATTTAATAAATCTACCACTCGATAGAGGGCGACGAAAAAAATGTGTAAAAATCTCATAGTCAGCATTTAGATAATTTACAACGTTGCCAGATGAGCCTAACACAAGTTTGCCGTTATTTCCAGCCAAGTAGGTTTTATTTCGTTTAAAAGTTTCTGATAAAGAAATGGGATTATTATAATGAATAAAAATAAATAAAACAAACAAAATATTACTTGTTATTTTAAATACTTGTTAGTGCTAACATTATTATAAATACGGTCCGGTAACTCAAATTTTACAGTACGAGTGAGATGTTTCAGGACGAGGCGACAGTAGGGAGCCGAGTCTTTAATTTCGAAACGAGTACTGCGAAAAGAGTTACCGGACGTATGTCGTTATGGATTTTATTTCATACTATCAACATATTTTTTTATTCGATAAAATAATTACTATTTTGAGAAAAAGTTCAAATCGAGTCACTTTTTCTGACATCGTCAGCAACCGCTGCTTGGTAAATGTTTTAATTTATTTATTCGTGCAAATCAGCATCAAAAATGGTGTTTAAACACATAGTAACACTTTACAGGACTTCTTTTTAGCTCAATTTTACCGGACTTGTCCGTTTTTTTTTATTTTACCGGACTCCTTCGAATCCAGTAAAACGTGAAATTTGACACAGTATGAAGTAAAATAAATGTAAATAACACATTGGAAATTTTTTCTACGCTTTTATGTGCTCGCTTTTGTTACTAATAATACAAAGGAAAATGCTTTTAAATGCGTTTTTTCAAAACTTACTATATTTTTTTAGAAAATTTATTAGATTAGAGACGGACAGATATATACTAAAGACAAAACATATGCATTCATATATATCTTAAAAAAACGGGTAACATATGCCGCATAAAGTCAAAAATCAGACATTTTCTTTCACATTTTATGATGTTAATACAATTAAGTATATCGATAACTCGCTACTGAAAATTTATTGAACTATAATTTGTGTTAAAAAAAGGTTTTTGTGGTTTTATGGTTTATTAACATAATTTACTTATTTACATTAAATATTTTTAATACATAGCACAAGTTCTCGATATTCTTTATTTTTATTCCAAGTAATAATTGTGTTTCCTTTATTTTTAACCAAGAAAATTTTTCGGTTATTATTTAACATACTTTTGTACATTAAGAAACTCCATTCCACGTCGCAGGACGTTACAGGACAATGTTTCACTTCGACACAAGAACTACTCGTATCTCAAAGAAAACAAAAAGTGGAAAAATGGAACAGCTTTAGAAACTATTCTTTTATTTGTTCTGTCTTGCAGCGAGAAAAGAATATAGCGTATTGTACCTATATTTCATAGTAAAATTGTCGATCCGGTTTAAAATTCTACCCACCTAATTAGGTAATTACGTCAACAAACTAAAATTTTCATTGAAGAGACAGACTGTTCTAGGAAACTTCACTAAATCTCTTTATTTACGAGCTATTCAAAGACCGCCGGTCTCACTGATATTTCTTACCTGGCTCCTTTGAATGAAGCGAAAAATGCACAAATTGGAAATATAGTAAATGGAGTAGTACCTACATATGTATGTATGCGTAATATGTCGTTAGACATTAAGTATTTTGCAAATAAAATTTATTTCATTGAAAACAGAAGCATTAAAAAACATATCTGTACAAGTTTGGTATCGATATGGCCAGTTGTTTAGTATATGCAAATATGCTTTTGTTCGTATTTACATTCATTACGAACCAGGTTATCAAATAATCTATTTTCACATAGCGGGACTTTCAAGCGGCAGAAGAGTTAAAAACCATAAATTTTCATTGAAGAGACAAACTCTTCCAAGAAAATTTACCAAATCTTTTAGTTTACGCACTATTGGACGAGCACTCCTTAAAACGGTCAGTATACCTAATCGCATTATTGCATTTAGAATGTTCTGGTAAATAAATGGGATTATTATAATGAACAAATAAAACAAATAAATTATGATTATTATTTGTTGTTTTAATCCATTAGACGCTTATAGGCTTATAAGCATACTTTTCTTGAAAAATCGGTAATAAATTCAGTGAAGCATCTTTCTGCCTTAATTCCTCTTGGTAAATTGGGATTTTGAATAGAGGTTGCAGGAAAATTTTGTATGGTTTTATGGTTTATTTACATAATTTTCTTATTTACAAAGAATGTTTTTAATATATAATACAAGTTCTTGATATTATTTATTTTAATTACATTTAATAAACCATAAAACCACAAAAATCTTTTTTTAACACAAATTATATTTCAATAAATTTTCAGTAGCGAGTTATCGATATACTTAATTGTATTTACATCATAAAATTTATTTATTTTACTTAATACTATGTCAAGTTTGACGTTTTACTGGATTCGAACGAGTCCGGTAAAATTGAGCCAAAAAGGACAAGTGTTCCATTTCCGGAAGCGGCCACTGACCCTTTTGGGTCTCTTTTGCTTTACCTGTTATTGTAAATACAAATGTAAATTTAGTACTTCTGTAAATCTGTAACCGTCCTGTATTAAACATCGAAACCGAACGCTGTCTATTATTTCGCACGCAACAAAACAAAGGTCCTTCGAGCAATATCAAAGTACAATTCATTATTACATTGTCGTATCAACCAGATTACAAAAAACACTGGTAGGACGAGCCGAGTTGCACAAACATTGGTCCTTCGAGACGGATTGCACAAAACATTGGTCCATCGAGTCGGATTATACAAAACTTGTTATACTATGTGTTTAAACATATGATGCTGACTTGCACGAATAAACAAATTAAAACATTTGCCAAACAGAGGTTGCTAACGATGTCACAAAAAGTGACTCGATTTGAACTTTTTCTCAAAATAGTAATAATTTTATCGAATAAAAAAATATGTTGACAGTATGAAATAAAATCCATAACGACAAACGTCCGGTAACTCTTTCCGCAGTACTCGTTTCGAAATTAAAGACTCGGCTACCTACTCGTCCTGAAACATCCCACTCGTACAGTAAAATTTGAGCTACTATTTAGAATAACTTTAATAACTATTTATGTTTTCATCAACACTAACAAGTATTTAAAATAACAAGTAATAATTTGTTTGTATTGTTTATTCATTATAATAATTCCATTTATTTACCAGAAACTTTTAAACGAAATAAAATCTAATCGAATAGAAATAACTGCAAAGTTGTGTTAGACTCATCTGGCAACGTTGTAAATTATCTAAATGCTGACTATGAGATTTTTACACATTTTTTTCGTCGCCCTCTATCGAGTGGTAGATTTATTAAATGTATTGTTGGTGTGATTTGTGTTACCTATGCGCGTGATTGGTGTCCAAGCTTTTCGCCGGCGTTTGACGGCCGACTGTTGGTGCGCCATCTCTTGTTCGCCGGCCGTTGGCCTGTTCGCTCCAAACAATAGCATGGGTCTATCTATATGTAGTTAATCAATGGTGCGGAGAATAATAAAATCGG